TTCGCCTACGACCTGGCGATCTGCCTCAACGCCTGGTGCTTCGAGCCGGACAACGCCTTCAACGCCACCAAGGCACGCTGCCTGCTGCGCAGCTATGCCGCCACCCGCGACGTCAGCCGGGCCGAGCTGGAGGCGCTGCCGGTGCTGGCGCGCGGCGCGGCGATGCGCTTTCTTCTCACGCGCCTGTACGATTGGCTGAACCATCCGCCGGGCGCATTCGTCAAACCGAAGGATCCCATGGAGTACTACAAGAAGCTCTGTTTCCACGCCGAGGTGCGCGGGCCCGGCGCCTACGGGCTGGAGCTGGCATGAGCGCCGGCGACGCGGCGGACGACACGCAGGTCGAGCTGTTCACCGACGGCGCCTGCTCGGGCAATCCGGGGCCGGGCGGCTGGGGCGCGATCCTGCGCTGGAACGGCCACGAGAAGGAGCTCTCGGGCGGCGAGCCGGAGACCACCAACAACCGCATGGAGATGCTGGCCGCGATCCACGGCCTGGAGGCGCTGAAGCGGCCGAGCCGCGTGCGGCTGACCACCGACAGCGAATACCTGATGAAGGGCGTCACCCAGTGGATGGCCGGCTGGAAGCGGCGCGGCTGGGTCACGGCGGCGAAGAAGCCGGTGAAGAACCGCGACCTCTGGGAACGGCTCGACTCGGCGCTGCAGCGCCACCGGGTGGAGTGGGAGTGGACCCGGGGCCACAGCGGCCACCCGGAGAACGAGCGCGCCGACGCGCTGGCCCGCGCCGCCATCGCGCACCAGCGCCGACGCAGCGCCTAACCCCGGTCCCGGCGACCTGTGCCGCCGGCCGGCCGCCGAACACCACGCCGTCGAACAACAAGAAGATGGGAGGAAACAGTGCTTCGTCGCGGTGCCGATATCCTGGCCGACCAACTGCTGCTGCACGGCGCCAGCCGCGCCTACGGCGTGCCCGGTGAGAGCTACCTGGCAGTGCTCGACGCGCTGGTCGACCGCCCCGCGTTCCGTTTCGTCGTCACCCGGCAGGAGGGCGGCGCGGCGATGATGGCCGAGGCCGAGGGCAAGCTGACCGGCCGGCCGGGCATCGCCTTCGTCACCCGCGGCCCCGGCGCCACCAACGCCAGCGCCGGCCTGCACGTCGCGCAGCAGGACTCGACGCCGATGATCCTCTTCATCGGCCAGGTGGCGCGCGGCATGCGCGGGCGTGAGGCCTTTCAGGAGATCGACTACACCCAGATGCTCGGCCCGCTGACCAAGTGGACGGCGGAGATCGACGACCCGGCGCGGATTCCCGAGCTGGTCGCCCGCGCCTTCTCGGTCGCCACCTCCGGCCGGCCCGGCCCGGTGGCGCTGGCCCTGCCCGAGGACATGCTGGTGGCCCAGGCGGAGGTGCCGGACGCCCCGGCCTTTCAGCCGGCCCCGGCCGGCGCCGACCCGGCCGACCTCGAGGCGCTGGAGGCCGCGCTCGGCGCCGCGCAGCGGCCGCTGGTGCTGGTCGGCGGCGGCGGCTGGTCGGCCGAGGCCAAGGCGGCGCTGGAGCGCTGGGCGAGCGCCAACGCCCTGCCGGTGGCGGCCTCCTTCCGCTGCCAGGACTACATCGACAACGAGCATCCCAGCTACATCGGCCACGTCGGCCTGGGGCTGGCGCCCGACCTGCGCCGGCGGATCGAGACGGCCGACCTGGTGATCGCGCTGGGCCCGCGCCTGGGCGAGATCACCACCCAGGGCTACGAGCTTTTCGCCGTGCCGACGCCGAGGCAGCGGCTGATCCACATCCACCCGGACCCGGAGGAGCTGGGCCGCGTCTACCGACCGAGCCTGGCGATCTGCGCGGCGCCGGCGCGGGTGGTGCAGGCGCTGGCCGCGCGCCCGGCGGTCGAGGCGCCGGCCTGGGCCGCCGATACGGCCGCGCAGCGCGCCGCCTTCGAGGCCTTCGCCACGCCCGCCAGGCTGGACGGCCCGCTGCAGCTCGGCGAGATCTGCGCGGAGCTGCGCAGCCTGTTGCCGCCCGAGGCCATCGTCTGCAACGGCGCCGGCAACTATGCCGCCTGGCTGCACCGCTTCCACCGCTGGCAGCGCTGGCGCACCCAGCTCGCGCCGACCAGTGGCTCCATGGGCTACGGCGTCCCGGCGGCGGTGGCGGCCAAGCTGGTCGCGCCGGAGCGCCCCGTGGTCGCCCTGTCCGGCGACGGCTGCTTCCTGATGACCGGGCAGGAGCTGGCCACGGCGGCGCAGTACGGCCTGGAGGTCGTCTTCCTGGTGTTCGACAACGGGCTTTACGGCACCATCCGCATGCACCAGGAGCGCGAGTATCCCGGCCGCGTCAGCGCCACCACCCTGGCCAACCCCGACTTCGCGGCGCTGGCGCGCAGCTACGGCCTGGAGGCCTGGACGGTGGAGACCACCGAGGCGTTCCGCCCGGCCTTCGACGCGGCGCTGACCTGCGGCGGCCCGGCGCTGCTGCATCTCAAGGTCGATCCCGAGGCGATCACCCCCGCGACCACTCTGACGCAACTGCGCGCGGCGGCCCTGGAGGCCGGCAAGTAGGCGCGGCCGGGGGGCGTCACTCCGCCGGCAGCAGCCGCTCGATGGCGGCGATCACCGGCGCGGCGTCGGGCCGGGTGGTGGTGGGAAAGCCCGCGACCGCCCGGCCGTCGGGCGCGATCAGGAACTTGTGGAAGTTCCAGCCCGGCTCGGCGTTGTCGGCGAGCTGGCCGCGAATCCAGGCGAACAGCGGGTGGGCGCCCGGCCCCTTCACCTTCTGCTTCTCGGTCATCGGGAAGTCGATGCCGAAGTTCACCTCGCAAAACTGCTTGATCTCGGCGTTGTCGTCGTACTCCTGGCCGCCGAAGTCGTCGGACGGCACGCCGAGCACCACCAGCCCGCGCGCGCGGTAGTCCTCCCACAGCGCCTGGAGCTGCTCGTACTGCGGCGTGAAGCCGCAGAAGGAGGCGGTGTTGACCAGCAGCACGGCCTTGCCGGCGAAGTCGCGCATCGCCAGCGGTTCGCCCTCGATCGAGACGAAGTCGAAGTCGTGGGCGCTCTCGGCGGCCGCGGCCGGCGCCGCCGGCGGCAACGCCAGCAGCAGGACGGCCAGCAGGACAGCGATCCGGCGCATGGGGCTCCCCCTCTTGAAGCTCGGTTCAGGTGGGGAGATAGCGCGCCCGCGGCCCGGCGCAATCGCCGCGCAGCGGTTCCCTGGGCGCGCCAATGGCCTTAAGCTGCGGCCATGCGTGAAACAGCCTCCCCCCGCCGCGTCGCCTCCCTGATTCCCAGCGCCACCGAGATCGTCTGCGCCCTCGGCTGCGGCGACCGCCTGGTCGGCCGCAGCCACGAGTGCGACTACCCGCCCGAGGTGGCCGAGCTGCCGGTGCTGACCCGCCCGCGCCTCGATTCCAGCCGGCCGAGCGGCGAGATCGACCGCGACATGCAGACCCTGCTGCGCGACGCGCTGGCGGTCTACGACCTGGAGAGCGAGCGCCTGCAGGCGCTGGAGCCCGACCTGATCATCACCCAGGACCTTTGCGACGTCTGCGCCGTCAGCCTCTCGGCCGTGGAGCAGGCCGTGGCCTGCTGGACCGGCACCGACGCCCAGGTGCTTTCGCTCAAGCCGACGCGGCTGGAGGACCTCTGGGGCGACATCCGCAAGGTCGCCGCGGCGCTGGGCGAGGCGCCGCGCGGCGAGGCGCTGGTCGAGCACCTGCAGGGGCGCCTGCGCAAGCTGGAGGAGCGGCTGCGCTCGCGCGGCCGTCCCAAGGTCGGTTGCATCGAGTGGCTCGATCCGCTGATGGACGCCGGCAACTGGATGCCGGAGATCGTCGCCGCCGCCGGCGGGCGCGACGTGCTGTCCAAGTCCGGCGCCCACTCCGGCTACCTGGACTGGTCGCAGCTCCGGTCCAGCGACCCGGAGGTGCTGGTTCTGCTGCCCTGCGGCTTCGACCTGGCGCGCACCCGCCGCGAGGCGGCCGGGCTGGAGGCCGAGGCCCGCTGGGAGGCGCTGAGCGCGGTGCAGCGCGGCGAGGTCTACGCCACCGACGGCAACCAGTTCTTCAATCGGCCCGGCCCGCGCCTGGTCGACTCCGCCGAGCTGCTGGCCGAGATCCTGCACCCCGAGATCGTCGCCCCCAGCCACCGGGGTTGGGCCTGGGAGCGCTACCCCGAGGCCTGACGCGCGGCGCCCCTCCGCAGGCCGTCCAGCGCCGGGCGGGCCGGGGGCGGCCTCAGCGCTTGAGCGCGCGCCAGCCGATGTCGCGGCGGCAGAAGCCCTCGGGCCAGTCGATCCGGTCGATCGCGGCATAGGCCTTGTCGCGCGCCGCCGCCACGTCGTCGCCCAGGGCGGTGACGTTGAGCACCCGCCCGCCGGCGGCGCGCAGGCGGCCCTCGCCGTCGCGCCGGGTGCCGGCGTGGAAGACCTCCAGGTCGGCCTCGGCCTTCAGCGCGTCGAGGCCGCGAATCTCGCTGCCCTTCTCGTAGCTGCCTGGATAGCCCTTGGCGGCCAGCACCACCGTCAGGGCGGCCTTGTCGTACCAGCGCAGGTCGAAGGCCTCGAGCTGGCCGTCGCAGGTGGCCACCAGCGCCGGCAGCAGGTCGCTCATCAGGCGCAGCATCAGCACCTGGCACTCGGGGTCGCCGAAGCGCACGTTGTATTCCAGCAGCTTGGGCGCGCCGTCCGGGCCGACCATCACGCCGGCGTAGAGCACGCCCTTGTACTGCCGCCCCTCCGCCTTCATGGCGGCGACCGTCGGGCGGATGATCTCCGCCATGATGCGCTCGGCCAGCTCCGGCGTGACCAGCGGCGCCGGGGAGTAGGCGCCCATGCCGCCGGTGTTCGGCCCCGCGTCGCCGTCGTAGGCCCGCTTGTGGTCCTGGGCGCTGGCGAGCGGCAGGGCGCTGACCCCGTCGCAGAGGGCGAAGAAGCTGGCCTCCTCGCCCTGCAGGCACGCCTCGATCACCACCTCGGCGCCGGCCGCGCCGAAGGCGCCCTCGGACAGGGCCGCGTCGACCGCGGCCTCGGCCTCGGCGACCGTCTCGGCCACGGTGACGCCCTTGCCGGCGGCCAGGCCGTCGGCCTTGACCACGATCGGCGCGCCCTGCGCGCGAATGTAGGCCTTGGCGGCCTCCGCCTCCTCGAACCGGGCGTAGGCGGCGGTGGGGATCTCGTGGCGCGCGCAGAGGTCCTTCATGAAGCCCTTGGAGCCCTCCAGCGCCGCCGCCTCGCTGCGCGGGCCGAAGGCGCGGATGCCCACCGACTCCAGGCGGTCGACCAGCCCGGCGACCAGCGGCGCCTCTGGCCCGACCACCACCAGGTCGAGGGACTGGCGCTTGGCGAACGCGACCAGCCCGTCGAGGTCGTCGGCGGCCAGGTCGACGCACTCGGCGACCGCCGCGATCCCGGCGTTGCCCGGCGCGCAGTAGAGCTTGTCGAGCAGCGGCGAGCCCGCGATCGCCCAGCAGAGCGCATGCTCGCGCCCGCCGCCTCCGACAACCAGAACCTTCATCGAACCTTCCCCTTCACGCAATTCCGTCCCGCCGACGGCGGCGACGCCTTCCACGGTGACGCCCGGCTCCTGTAGCATGCGGCCCGATCATGAGCGAGTTTTCCGACACCCTCCGGCCCCGCCCGAGCAACCTGCCCGAGTTCTCCGTCTCGGAGATCAGCAAGGCGATCAAACGCACGCTGGAAGGCAACTTCGAGCGGGTGCGCGTGCGCGGCGAGATTTCCGGCTTCAAGCGGGCGGCCAGCGGCCATCTCTACATGTCGCTGAAGGATGCCGACGCCGTGCTCGACGCGGTCTGCTGGCGCGGCCAGGCCGGGCGCCTGGCGGTGGCGCCGGAGGACGGGCTGGAGGTGGTCGCGCTCGGCCGCGTCACCAGCTATCCGGGCCGCTCCAAGTATCAGATCGTCATCGAGTCTCTGGAGCTGGCCGGCGAGGGCGCGCTGCTCAAGCTGCTGGAGCAGCGGCGCAAGGCCCTGGCCGCCGAGGGGCTGTTCGACGAGGCGCGCAAGCGCCGCCTGCCGTTCCTGCCGGAGGTGATCGGCGTGGTCACCTCGCCCACCGGCGCGGTGATCCGCGACATCCTGCACCGCCTGGGCGAGCGCTTCCCCCGCCGCGTGCTGGTCTGGCCGGTGCTGGTCCAGGGCGAGGGCGCGGCCGAGCAGGTGGCGACGGCGATTCGCGGCTTCAACGCCCTGCCGGCCGGCGGCGCGGTGCCGCGCCCGGACGTGCTGATCGTGGCGCGCGGGGGCGGCTCGCTGGAGGATCTCTGGGCCTTCAACGAGGAGGTCGTGGTGCGCGCCGCCGCGGCCTCGGAGATTCCGCTGATCTCGGCGGTCGGCCACGAGACCGACACCACCCTGATCGACTTCGCCAGTGACCGCCGGGCGCCGACGCCGAGCGCGGCGGCCGAGATCGCCGTGCCGGTGCGCGGCGAGCTGCTGGTGCAGGTCCAGGACCTGGAGCGGCGCCTGACCGGCGCCACCGGGCGTCTGCTCGCCCAGCGCCGCAACGAAGTCGAGGGCCTGGCCCGCGGGCTGCCCGACCCGGCCCGGCTGGTCGGCGAGCTGTCGCAGCGCCTGGACGAGCGGGTCGAGCGCCTGGACCTGGC